TTTTTGCCTCTCCTTCCCCCCCCTTCTCTCCTTTCCCCTTCCTTCCTTCTCCCTCTCCCTCTTTCTCTCCACATATTTAGCACGCAACACACAAAGAGCGGGTTCCTCACCGATCCCTCCCTTGCTCTCCCCTCTGCAGCCACTCTCCAGAGCGGTGCGGGAAGGCAGCAGACAAGGCACAGCACAGTGAGGCGCGGATGGAGGCCAAGACCATCATGAACGGGCACTCAGGCCCCATCACTTGCCACCAAGACAGTCCAGGGGCAACCGCCTCCCAGGACCTTCCGACTTGCAAGCAGAAACCAGCAGCTGGAAGGGAAGGACCAGGGATGGGCACTGCCAGCGAGACCCCGACAGAGGCTGGCAGCATCGCTGGAGCATATGTAGAGGCTTCAAAGAAGATAATGACCTTCTATGAGTCCACCAGAGAGCATCTTCTGGGCCTGGATCCAGCGCTGCACCTCCTTGAGGCCCAGGCAGCCACCGGCTCCATCTCTGACCCCATAAGGAGCAGGCAAGTGTCTGTCGCAGAAGCCGTGCACCTGGGGCTGGTGGGGCTGGAGCTCAAAGAGAGGCTGCTCGCCGCAGAAAAAGCCGCCACCGGCTTTGTGGACCCTTACACAGAAGAGAAGATCCCCCTGTACCAGGCCATGCAGAAGGACCTGATTGGGAGGGAGCAAGGCGCTCGGCTGCTCGAGGCCCAGCTTGCAACTGGAGGCATCATTGACCCAGCCACTGGCCATCGGCTTCCAGCAGAAGTTGCCTGTGAGAGGGGATATTTAGATGAAGAAACGCTGCAGCTCCTCTCCGACCCCAGCAATGAGGACAGCAAATGGTTCCTGGACCCCAGCACCATGGAGAAGGTCACCTACCTGGAGCTTGTGAAGAGGTGTGTTACTGATCCAGCCTCAGGTTCCCTCCTCTTGCCTCTGAAAATCACATTCCCAGCGCTGGGAGGAAGGGTGAGCGGCAGAGAGCTGCTGGACTCCGGCATCATCAGCTCCAAGGTGTTCAGAGACCTTGAGGAGGGAAGAGTGTCTGTCCAGGAGGTAGCGGAGGATGACTCTGTCCAGCGGTTCCTGCATGGGACGAGGAGCGTGGCTGGTGTCGTTCTGCCCTCTGGTGAGCGCAAGAGCCTCTACCAAGCACTGAGGGAGCATCTCCTTGTGCCCGGGGCTGCGCTGATGCTCCTCCAGGTCCAGGCCGCCACGGGCAGCCTGACAGACCCCATAGCGAACAAAAGCTTCTCGGTTGATGAGGCTGTCAAGACTGGTCTCGTTGGCCCAGAGCTCTACGAGAAACTGTCTTCAGCTGAGAGAGCCATCGCTGGGTACAGGGATCCCCGCACCGGGGAAAAGCTTTCCCTGTTCCAAGCCATGCAGAAGGGCTTCATTCCCCGGGACCATGGCATTTGCCTTTTGGAGGCTCAGATGGCCACGGGGGGCATCATCGCTCCGGGCAGGCACCTCCGTGTCCCCACAGACACAGCTTGCCAGCRGGGCTACCTGGACGAGGCCACGAGGCAGCTCCTCTCCAGCCCTACTGATGACATGAGAGGGTTCTTCGAGCCCAGCTCCCAGGAGAAGCTGACCTATACGGAGCTGCTCAAGAGGTGTGTCACCGATCCAGACACCGGGCTTCTCCTGCTGCCCCTTGGCAGAGACAGCGGAGAGGAGCCCAAGGACAAACACCTCCTCATTGACCGCAGGACCCAAACAGCTCTGGAAAGCACAAAGGTGCCCATTGCTTCGGGGAAATTCAAGGGGAAGTCGGTTTCCCTCTGGAAACTCCTCTTCTCCGATTACATGCCAAGGGAGCAAAGAGTCGCTCTTGCCCAGCAGTACTGTGCAGGAGCAATCTCCACGCAAGACCTGGCCAAGGCGGTCAGTGCCACTGTTGAGGAGATGGCTTCCACTGCTAATATCACCTTCGAAGGCCTGAGGGACAGAGTCACGGCGGACCAGCTCCTGAGTTCCGAGATTATCAACAAAGACTTGTTTAAGAAGCTGAAAGAGGGAGAAACATCAGCCAAGGAAGTTGTCAGCATGGACACAGTCAAGAAATACCTGGAAGGGACGGGCAGCATCGGCGGGCTCCTGCTCCCCGACTCCCAGGAGAAGATCAGCATCTACCAGGCAAAAAGGAAAGGGCTTTTAAGGCCAGGAACGTCGCTGATCCTCCTGGAGGCACAGGCTGCCACCGGCTTTATCATTGATCCGGCTGCCAACAAAAGATATTCAGTGGACGAGGCTTTAAGAGCAAACGTCATTGGCCCGGATGTGTACGACAAGCTGCTGACTGCTGAGAAGTCAGTCACGGGCTACAGAGACCCATACTCGGGCGACAAGATCTCCCTCTTCCAGGCCATGCAGAAGGAGTTCATAGTGAAGGAGCACGCCATCCGCCTGCTCGAGGCGCAGATCGCCACCGGCGGCATCATCGACCCCGTCAACAGCCACCGCATCCCCGTGGAGGTGGCCTACAAGCGGGGCTACTTCGACAGGAAGATTAACTTGATCCTTTCGGACCCCAGCGACGACACCAAGGGCTTCTTCGACCCCAACACGCACGAGAACCTCACCTACCTGCAGCTGAAGGCGAAGTGCATCACGGAGCCGTCCACCGGGCTCTGCCTCCTCCCTCTGAACAGCAAGAAGCGCCAGTTCGTCGACGACGYCACCAAACGGGTGTTTGGGAACTCCTGGATGCGTGTCCGGTTTGGGCGGCTACGGGGTGAGAGGGTTTCCGTGTGGGAGCTGCTCAACTCTGAGTACTTCAGTGAGGGCAGGCGTCGGGAGATATTCAACCACTACCGGCTGAGGAAGCTCACGCTAGAGCAGATCAGGGCTTTGTTAGAGGAAGAAGTCAAAAAGTGGGCTCCCATCAGGTTCTCGGCCATGAGAGGCAGCGTCAATGCTTACCACCTGATGGAAACRGGTGTCATCGACAGGGCGCTGTTTGAGAAGGTCTTGGAGGGATCTGTCACGCCGGAGGAGGTCCTGYGCATGGACTCTGTAAGGAAGTACCTCTACGGCTCCGGCAGCATCGGGGGCATCGTCCTGCAGCCATCAAACCAGAGGATGAGCATTTATGAGGCCATGAAACAGAACCTGATGGTGCCGGGAATAGCCCTGCCCTTGCTGGAGGCCCAGGCTGCCACGGGTTTCATCATCGACCCAGTGAACAACCAGAAGCTCTCTGTAGATGATGCTGTGAAAGAAGGAATAATCGGGCCCGAAGTCCACGAGAAGCTGCAGCATGCGGAAGAGGCTGTAACAGGCTATAAAGATCCTTTCACGGGCAAGAAAATATCCCTCTTCCAGGCCATGAAGAAGGGCCTAATTGCCGATAAGCAGGCCCTGCAGTTAATGGAGGTGCAGATGGCCACGGGAGGTATCATCGACCCGACGTGCGGCCACTATATTCCYGTAGAATTTGCTCAGAAACGGGGCTGTCTGGACGAGGACACGAGCAAGGCCCTTTCTCAACCCAATGACAGCATCAGAGCCTTCTGCCTCCCAGACAGCAAAGAAGCAGTGACCTATGCCGAGCTAATTGAGCACTGCGAGAGGGACGAGACCTCCGGCTTCCATCTGCTTCCCCTKCCCCAAACTGCTCTTCCAATTTACACCGACGAGCAAATCCAGCAGCTTTTCAAGGAGACCATGGTGGAGGAAAAAGGGCTCTCCCTCTGGGAACTGCTCCACTCCGGGTACTTCACCGAGGAGCAGAGGAGGGACTTTGTGGAGAGGTACCGCTCTAGGGACATGTCTCTGGAGCAGCTGGTTGCTCTCGTCCTTAAGCTCGTGAGGGAGATGGAAATGAAAGCGCGCACGGACGTCACCCTGGAAGGCTTGCGGGGCAGCGTCCCTGCCGTCTGGCTGCTAGACGCTGGCATCATCACCGAGCAGGTCTTTGAAGAGCTGGTCCAGGGCGTGAGGACTCCCGAGGAGGTGTCTGCCATGGGCAGTGTGAAGAGATACCTGCAGGGCACAGGCAACATCGCTGGGGTGTTCATAGAGGCGTCCAAAAAGAAGATGAGCTTCTACGAGGCCATGAAAAACAATCTCCTGCTCCCCGGGGTAGCACTGAGGCTGCTGGAGGCTCAGGCCGCCACAGGGTACCTGACTGACCCAGCAACCAACCAGAAGCTCAGCGTGAAGGACGCCGTCAAAGCCGCCGTTGTTGGCGAGGAGCTCACTGAGAAACTGCTTCTGGCGGAGAGAGCGGTGACCGGCTACAAAGACCCCTACACGGGGAGCTCCATCTCCGTGTGCCAAGCGCTCAGGAAAGAGCTCATCCCCACGAGCGACGCTCTTCCCTTGCTAGAGGCCCAGCTGGCCGCAGGAGGGATCATTGACCCCGTTCACCACCACCACCTTCCCCTCCAGGCCGCGTACAGATACGGGTTCTACGACRAGGACCTCAACCGAACCCTCTCCCAGTCCGACGACAGCACCAGAATCTTCTTTGATCCAAACACGAAGGAGAAGGTGACCTACCAGCAGCTGAAGGAGAGGTGCATTGCTGAAGCTGGGACAGGTCTCCTGCTCCTCCCGCTCTCGGAAAACGCGCTCCTCTGTGTGGACGAGCAAACAATGGAGGTGCTCAAGTCCGTGACCGTCTGCGTAAACATAGGGCGGTTCAAAGGACAGACCGTGTCAGTCTGGGACCTGCTCAACTCTGAGTACATCTCTGACAGCAAAAGACGAGAGCTGGTGCAAAAATACAAGGACGAGAATACCGACGTGCTGCAGGAAATAATAACAGTTGTAACCACGATCATCCAAGAGACCGAGACCCAAGGCAAGAAGTTTGCATTTCAGGGCCTGAGGAAAAGGGTATCTGCCAGTGACCTCTTCCAGTCTCACCTGATAGACAAGAAAACACTTGATGAGCTCCACCAGGGGAAGAAAACAGTCGAGGAAGTCACGGAGATGGAATCTGTCCGCAGGTACCTGGAAGGCAGCAATTTCATTGCAGGAGTCCTTCTGCAGCCAAGCAATGAGAAGATGGGCATCTACCAGGCCATGAGGAAAGGCATCCTGAGGCCAGGGACAGCACTAGTGTTGCTGGAGGCCCAGGCTGCCACCGGCTTCATCATCGACCCGGAGAAAAACAAGAAGTTTTCTGTGGAGGAAGCGTTAAGTTCAGGTCTCATTGGAATGGAGATTTTTGAGAAGCTGCTCTGTGCGGAAAGAGCAGTGACCGGCTACACAGACCCCTACACGAAAGCCCCCATGTCTCTCTTTGAAGCCATGAACCAAGGGCTCATCGTGAAGAGCCACGGCATCCGCCTGCTCGAGGCGCAGATCGCCACGGGCGGCATCATCGACCCCGTGCACAGCCACCGYGTSCCCGTGGAGGTGGCCTACCGGCGCGGCTACTTCRACGAGGASATGAACCRSRTSCTCTSCGACSCCTCGGACGACACCAAGGGCTTCTTCGACCCCAACACGCACGAGAACCTCACCTACATGCAGCTGCTGGAGAGGTGCGTCCAAGACGCAGAGACTGGGTTGTACATGCTCCAAGTTGTGCAGGAGGGGGGAAGGTACTTCTACATTGACGAGTCGACAAAGCAGTTCCTGCGCTCAAAGCCCGTCAAGGTGAATGTCGGAAAGTTTAAGGACCAGACGGTTTCCATCTGGGAGATTCTCTGCTCTCATTACATCTCCGAGCAGAGAAGAAAGGACTTAGTGAAACAATATAAATACAAGTCCCTCACGCTGGAAGACCTTATAGCTCTCATCCTCAAAATAATTGAGGAGGCAGAACAGAGAACAGAAGCCCTGAAGGTCAGAGGTCTTCGGGAGGACGTCTCGATATCAGAGCTGTTTAACTCGGAGATTCTTGACAAGAAAACTCTGGATCGGCTGCAGGAGGGAAGTCTGGCTCTCGAAAGCCTCACGAAGATGGACAACGTCACAAGGTACCTGGATGGCACGGGCTGCATCGCTGGCGTCCTGCTCCCGTTACGGAAAGAGAAGATGAGCATCTACGAGGCCCTGAAGAGGGGCCTGCTCCCAGAGCAGTGTGCGCTGGGGCTGCTGGAGGCACAGGCCGCCACTGGTTTCCTCATTGACCCGCTGAGGAAGAGGAAGCTCTCTGTGGATGATGCCGTCTCCACCGGGCTGGTGGGCAGCGAGCTACACGAGAAGCTCCGGTTAGCAGARCGAGCTGTGACGGGATATACTGACCCACGCACAGGAAAGAAAATGTCCCTCTTCCAGGCCGTAAGGGGAAAGATAACAACCAAGGAGCACGGTATTCGCTTGCTTGAGGCCCAGGTTGCCACCGGCGGCGTCGTCGACCCCGTGCACAGCCACCGCCTCCCCGTAGAGGTGGCCTACCGGAGAGGCCACCTGGATGAAGACACGTTCCTCCTCGTTTCTGACGCAGATCACGGCAGCAAAGGGTTTATAGATCCAAACACGAATGAAAAGATGAGCTACAGCCAGCTCCTGCAGAGATGTTCGAAGGACGGAGAAACCGGATTCTACCTGCTGCAGGTGATGGAAAAGGAAGACGACTATTTCTACATTGATGAGCGCACTAAAAACATGCTATTATGTACCATGGTGCAAGTGCCTGTTGGGAAATACAAAGGGCAGATGYTATCGTTGTGGGAACTGCTCTGCTCGGAATACATCACAGAGGAGAAGAGGAAAGAATTGGTGAAAAAATATAAACATGAGTCCCATAATATTTTACAACAGATCATTGATACAATACTGAATATCATTAGAGAAAAAGAGGAGGGACGAAGCGATGTTTGGTTCCAAGGGATCAGGCAACAAATAACGGCATCAGAACTTCTCAGCGCACAAATAATTACAAAAGAAACGATGGAGAAGCTCCAGGAAGGAAAAGAGACAGTACAAGAAATAGCTCGAACAGAGAGCGTGAGGAGGTACCTTGAAGGAACTGGGTGCATCGCCGGCGTCCTGGTGCCATCCAAGGCCAACCCTGGCAAGATGGAGAAGATGAGCATCTACCAGGCCATGTGGAAGGGCATCCTCAGGCCGGGGACAGCGCTGGTGCTGCTGGAGGCGCAGGCGGCCACGGGATTYGTCATTGACCCCCTCAAGAACAAGAACCTCTCGGTGGATGAGGCTGTCTCCTCGGGGCTGGTGGGCAGCGAGCTCCAAAGAAAACTCCTCTGTGCGGAGCGAGCCGTGACGGGCTACATTGATCCATCGACAGGACAGAAAATCTCCCTCTTCCAGGCCATGCAGAAGGAGCTCATCGTCAAGGAGCACGGCGTCCGCCTGCTCGAGGCGCAGATCGCCACGGGCGGCATCATCGACCCCGTGCACAGCCACCGC